AAGAGGGAACAGCGGCACTGCAAGATTCAAGATAGCATTGCATTGTCAAGATATTGCATGGGAAGATCTCACTGGATATGGTTGTACTTAACCCTTGTGCATACAAAAGGGCCCCCAAGAGGTGTTTTAAGAATTTGAAAAGAGGATACTGAAACTTAGGGTGTGCATTTCTTTGAGAAAATCCAAGATTGGATTCTTAAATCCGAAAACAGATTTTGCGTTTCTTTACTAAACAGATCAATCCAAGATCACTCAGATCATGGTGCATCAAAGGAACCTAAGAATCCTTGCCCAGAGTGGATTCTTCGGTTCCTTTGATGCACCATGATCCAAGAGATCTCTGATTGATCTGTTTAGAAAAGAAACGCAAAATCCGTTTTCGCATTTAAGAAACCAAAAGAAACACACCCTGAATTGCAGTAGCTGTGGATCTATCCCTTGCCAAACATTTGATCTGTCAACTGTTTTTCTGCATCAATTGACATTTATTGCCATGGCGACCATGTTTTCACATGCCTGTCGAGCCAAAGCATTTTTTTTTTGTCAGAGTTTGTCTGTCCACTTCTCTGTAGCAGAATTGCAGAATTGCAGAATTAGTTAAATGCTGCATTCATTAATCATTTTGGATTAATTTTCCTCACCATCGATTTACCCTATTTTCTGACTTACTGAGGAAAAAGGTGAAATTCAAGATGGTAGATCTAAGATCTGATGGCATGCTTAAATATGATGTCACATGATATCCTGACCAACAAAACATAATTTAATAATAAAGTGTATTATCGTTTGTCTCATGATGTAGTCACTTGAGATGTAGATCGCGACGTTTCGACTGCTTACTGCTAGTCTTCTTCAGGCGACTGATTGCACGGTATCATTTATATCACAAAGGTTGGCTGTAAAACATAATTTCATCTTGTAAAGCAAGTCAAGGGCTATCGATTAAAAACAAAACCCATGGAAGGAGCTCCATCCACTTCTTCCATCCCCATGTACCATGGTGGGGGTATGAGCTTGCATGTACGTCCTGTACTTGACCAAACTTTGGTTGACTTTGAAATGGCCTCCACGCACACAAATTTCAGTAGATATGAGCTTAGTGCATTGGTATCTCAATTCAATATTTGTGTATTTTGTAACTTACAGAATGTAAAAGACAAATCGAAACCAGTAGTTCCTTCCAAGGACTCCAAAGAGCTTGACAAACTGTGTAAAAGGTTTCTGATTCCTAAAAAAATATACAATTACTTGTTAATTAATGTTTAGTTATGAATGTTATGAAGTGCCAACTAATGTTTAGTACTTAGTGCACTACCATTACAGAATATCACCTTATCTCAGTTTCCTTACTTAGAGTAAACAAAACACCCACAAAATCACCAGTAAAAATTATCTCAGAACAAATTTATTTC